TACGCCTTGGCTGATTTTTGCAGGCTTATGTATGTAGGTCATTTACCGAAATTCTATCAATTTGTTACTTAGCGATTAAGGAAATCCAGCGGCGTGTCCAGTACAAGCCCAAACTGAGATTCCACGGTGAATGTATATATGTAAAGCTGATCTGCTATATGAACGGTGAATTCCAGCGGCGTGTCGAGTACAAGCCCGAACTGAAATTCCACGGTGAATGTATAGCTGATCTGCTATGTATATATGATAATACGTCCTTCTGGGTCAACCCGGGGGCGCCAAAAAATGTTTGCTCCAAATTGGCAAACTGCGAAAATGCCTGTTTCAGGCCAGCAACTATGGTCCCAGTAACAACGCATCAACCGAATTCAATCCAAGTTCTTTTATTACTGTTTTCTATCTGCTCCTTCTATTCTTTTCTTCGAAACTGCGACGCAGCGAGTAACAAGAGCGAATACTACTTACTACTTAACAGAGTGATAACATTTTTAGGCGGTACAATTCAAATGTTTCTCATAAGTATGGGAGTAAGGAACACACGTAGAGATCTTGCAGCTCGTGCTCGTTGGGGGTTATTTTATTTGCTCGTAGCTTGCTATGCCCCGTCTCATAGCTAAGTAGCCCAAGTTGCGAGTTCTACGTATTTCCCTTACCTATTATTTTTTAAACAAGTTACGACTAAACACCATCTACAAATATTAAAAAGCTTGTTAAACCAAAAAACTAATTTTTTTTTTTAATAATATTAAGTTTTATACGTTTGTTATACATAAGGTCGCGAACGTACGCCACTTTAAAATTCAATACAACAAAAAATTCTTGAAAAAGTCGTGATTTTTTTTTTAATTTTAATAGTTTACACTAAAATGACTTAACACATAAAGTTTTATCCACCCGCTTTCACTTAATGCGAAGCAATTACAATAAAATTATGTTTTGGGTCGCGAACGTACGATTAGAACATCGATAAGAATCAAAGTACAAATTAAGAGGTAATTTAACATTTTTTCGCTCTCTTTGAATTTTTCTCGTCTTATTAGATTGTTATTAAGAGATTTAGTACAAAAAGAGCAAACACATCATATGTTTTCCTTGATAAATAAATAAACATAAAAATGTCTTTAAAAGTAAAAATTACATTTTTTGACTTTTCGGGCTTTTTAAAAAAAAAATAAAGCTGAGATATGCTATGAATCCAATAGAATCAGGGGTAGGCAAGCCCATGGCTCCTCGGGCTCTCAAGGCTCCCCCCGTTATTCGTAATTTTTGGCGCCAGCAAATCGGGCCAGACGATCGAGTCGCGCGATCAGTGAGCCGTGAAGATTTACAAAAACAATGCTACACAAATTCCGAGGCAGGTAGCGGGCCCGACCCCGCGGTCCCGAGTTTGCAACAAAAATTATTAAGGGTCCGTTTGCGCCAACGCGACAACAACCATCGCGAGGGTGGTGGTTGTTGTTGTAATTTGTTTTTTGGCCGAGCTGCGGCTCCGACCGTTAGATTTCGTGCCCACCACTGCAATAGATTATGAAAATTTGGATATTTATTTATGAAAATACAAAAAAAGAATCGTGGAATATGGACATTTATTTTTTCGGTCCTGGTTGACCATCCGCCGGAATAGCCGATATGTTTTGTATATGTTGTAATGTATATCTAATGTATATGTTTGCGTCTTGCATAATATAAGTTATAATTATATTTCCTACTCTTTTTTTTTTTTTAATATAAAAAATTTAATAAGTCTTTTTTTTAATATAAAAAAAAAAAATAAAATAAAAACAAAAAAAATTTCATTTAAAAAAAAAACAAAATTGAGTAACAAACCGAAAATAAAAAACCGATTGAAGATATCTCTAATATTTTAGAAGTTATTAATTAAATGCCGCTAGCGAGGCCGAGTCGACCACTGTGGAGCGTGGCAATTATATTTTTGTTTTGATTGCTCATATTTGGCGATATATTGGTCTTTTGTCAAGTTCTGGTCTAAAAGAAATGCTAACGCTTCATGGGGAGTAACAACTTTTGTTTTTTTACATTCCTCCGATTTACTCCCCCATTTTTATACCCTTGCAGAGGGTATTATAATTTTGTCCAAAAGTGTGCAACGCAGTGAAGGAGACATCTCCGACCCTATAAAGTATATATATTCTTGATCAGGATCACCTCCTGAGTTGATATGAGCATGTCCGTCTGTCCGTCTGTCCGTCTGTCCGTCTGTCTGTCTGTTTCTACGCGAACTAGTCTCTCAGTTTTAAAGCTATCGTCTTGAAACTTTGCACACACCCTTCTTTCCTTTGCACGCAGTATATAAGTCGGAACGACCGGGATCGGCCGACTATATCCTATAGCTGCCATATAACTGATTGATCGGAAATGGTATAACTTTGATGTTTTTAGAGTTACAGAGTTCAAATTTGACATGAGTGCTATTTTTGGCAAAACATTACGACATGCCAAATTTCATAAGGATCGGCCGACTATATCTTATAGCTGCCATATAACTGAACGATCGGAAATGACCCAACTTTCGTGTTTTTGAAGATAGAAAGCTGAAATTTAATACAGATTCTATTTTTGGTCAGTTGATCCAACCTACCAAATTTCATAACGATCGGCCGACTATATCTTATAGCTGCCATATAACTGAACGATCGGAAATGACCCAACTTTTGTGTTTTTGAAGATAGGAAGCTGGAAATTGGTACAGATTCTATTCTATATTCCGGTTTTAACTGCAAGGGTATATCAACTTCGGCTCCGCCCGAAGTTAGCTTTGCTTTCTTGTTTTAAAAATCTTATACCTTAAAAAAGTACATTTTTTGTTAAAACCGTCGCCATTTTTATACCCTTGCAGAGGGTATTATAATTTTGTCCAAAAGTGTGCAACGCAGTGAAGGAGACATCTCCGATCCTATAAAGTATATATATTCTTGATCAGGATCACCTCCTGAGTTGATATGAGCATGTCCGTCTGTCCGTCTGTCCGTCTGTCTGTCTGTCTGTTTCTACGCGAAATAGTCTCTCAGTTTTAAAGCTATCGTCTTGAAACTTTGCACACACCCTTCTTTTCTTTGCACGCAGTATATAAGTCGGAACGACCGGGATCGGCCGACTATATTCTATAGCTGCCATATAACTGAACGATCGGAAATGACCCAACTTTCGTTTTTTTGAAGATAGAAAGTTGGAACTTGGTACAGACTATATTTTTGGTCAGTTAATCCGACCTACCAAATTTCATAACGATCGACCGACTATATCCTATAGCTGGCATGTAACTGATTGATCGGAAATGGTATAACTTTGGTGTTTTTAGAGCATACATAGCAAAACTCATTTTACATAGCAAAACTCATTTTACAATACACAGGAGTATAGGGTAAGAAATTCTGCCGCAGCGCTGCCGGCACACTGACAGTGTGAGCAATCTAAATTTTTTGTAGAAGCTTTCTCAATTGCTCTCATTTTGACTTATTTGACAGCCCAAACTTAAAATCAAAATGTTTTCACTGAGAAAAATTTTCTCAGAAAGTGGGTTGGAAAAAGTTTTCTGCATGGAGAATATAGATAGGGAAGCGTAGTTTTTCATTTGTTTAAGAAATGTTGCTAGCAAAGCTTTTTTTTAAATAAAATACTTAATTTTAGTGCCCATTCAAACTTTTGAATTAACGAAAACTTAAATTTTTTCGCTCAGTGAATTCTCTGCTCCCATTGTTTTTCTCTGCTACGCACACACTCAAATTTTAAACATGTGTTAGTTTTGGCCCCCACTGTTTTAGAGTTAAAGAGTTTAAATTTGACGCGAGAGCTACATATTTTGGCAAAACTATACGACATGCCAAATTTTATAAGGATCGGTCGACTATATCTTATAGCTGCCATATGACTGAACGATCGAAAATGACCCAGGTTTCGTGTTTTTGAAGATAGAAAGCTGATACTTAGTACAGATTCTATTTTTGGTCAGTTGTACTGACTGACCAAATTTCATTAGGATCGGCCGATTATATCCTATAGCTGCCATATAACTGATTCATCGGAAATGGTATAACTAATGTTATACCATTTATTTTTTTTGGTATGGCGCTATTTTTGGCAAAAAAAAACGACATACCAAATTTCGTAAGGATCGGCCGACTATATCCTATAGCTGCCATATAACTGAACGATCGGAAATTACCCAACATTCGTTTTTTTGAAGATAGAAAGCTGGAACTTGGTACAGACTATATTTTTGGTCAGTTAATCCGACCTACCAAATTTCATAACGATCGACCGACTATATCTTATAGCTGTCATATAAATGAACGATCGGATATGGTTTATGGTAGAAATACCAACTTTGGTATGTTTGAAGATAGAAGTTTGGGACTTTTTTTTAGATTTTGTATTGTAATAAATTGGATTATATATTCATATTCCCATAAGGATCGGCCAACTATATCCGATGTTTGCGATACATATCCGGTTTTAACTGCAATCGTATATCAACTTCGTCTCCGCCCGAAGTTAGCTTTCCTTTCTTGTTTTGTAACAGTTCGTTATAGTAAATATATACATTTTTATTTATATGTAAGTATATATATTCCTTATCAGCATGAACAGCCGAGTCGATATAGTCATGTCCGTCTATCTGTTTGTCTGTGTGAACGCGTCGACCTTTGAGACTATAAGATTTATACTTTATGAATGAGATTTTTCATAATGATTTCTATGATAAAAGCGCAAGTCAAGTCTCGCCTAAATTCATTTTTGGGCTTGAACTCGTTTGGAACCACACAGATCAAGTTAGTGTCAAGAATTTGGCAACGTCCACTCCCAGCTCTTAAACGAAAATCTTAAGTTATAGGAGTTATACGACTTTTTTTTTCTACTTCCCTACTGTATTGTTTCAATTGTTATCTCAAAGCACAAAATTCTCTTGTTTTATATTTGGTTTATGAAATTAAATGTAACTATGTCGTATATTTATATATTTTATATTTTTTTTATTGCAGAGATGGAATTGGTGATGGTCAACTAAATATTTGCTCAGAATATGAAGTTCCGCAATTTGAAGTAGCTGGTGGACATAATATTCAGATTTCTTTCATTGTAGTGCAAAAAAGAATTAATACCCGGATTTTTTTTGTAAGTAATTTATAACCATACTCCTTTGTTTTCTAATTTTTATAGCCAGTAGTCGTAGAGTACATGGGAATACTGTAGTCGTGTGTATATTTTTTTAACTTAGAGAAGGAATCATCTCCGACCCCATAAGGTATAAAAACCTTTGATGCTAAACTATTTCAATAGTTAATATATATCTGAAAACCCAATTTCATCCCAATAGTTCAATTTTTGGAGTAGATATACACATATATATACAATGTACACAAGGGCTAACATTTTGAATTCGTGGATCACGAAGACTTAAAGAGATAGAACTATCCGATTTGAACCTTGGACTTGTATGATATCCACGAAGATCAAGCTTGTGTCAAAATTTTGCCACTCCCGACTCTAAAACAGAAATCTGGTGTTAGCGCAAGTTCATTTATGTTTTGATGCCTAACTGTTCCAATGACTAATCTACACTTACAATAATCCATACCTTTAAAGTGTAAACTATAAAGGTTAGTTTTATTGTGGGTTGAAGAGATGGGTACCGGGTTTACTATAGCTTTCCTTTCTTGTTTCTTATTAAAATAATAATAATGGGGATGATGTCGCAATGGCCCTCTTTGGAAAATTTCCCCAGACTCTATGCGACCGCATGACAGATAAACTTAGGGTTATCTCAACATGGGCAGTTAGGAACGGATTAGGTGTAAACCCATCCCAAACCGAGCTTGTCCTCTTCATTAGGAAGTACGAAATACCAAATTTAAACTCCACATATAGAGAGAGATTTAGGAAAACTTAAAGGATGGCGGAAGTCTGCATTACAGCCAGCCTACGTACCACACCGACAGACGCTCTAGACTTCATACCCGACCTATTACCTGTAGAGATTGGGCAATTAGGCTACCCGAGACGGGCATATGGAAAAGGACCGACTATGGACATACCAAGTTGGACCTACATACATCACTGCACGCCAACGGGGGCTACAGACTACTGTATACCTGTTGATCATCCCACCTTAAAATATAAGGTATCCATTCCAACACGGGAGGAATGGGCCACACAAATCCCGGGACCAGCCGGTTCCCTTCATATTTACACACACGGTTGAAAATTGAATGTCCAGCTGGGAGGCAGTTTCCACTGCGAGCCTAAATGAGTCCTTCAGACTCCCCGACCAAAGTAGTGTGTTCCAAGCAGAAGTAATAGCGATCGGGAAAGCACCTCAATCCCCAGCACTTACTGGCAATCAATACACTATCTGTATCATCTGAGATAGTCAAGCGGCACTCAGAATCCTTGGCGGGTTCTCATCCAACTTCAGGAAAGTGACTGACTCTCGCAGATCTCTTAACGAGATGGCGGAGTAGCATGACCTCATATGGGTGCCCGGCCATGAACTAGCAAGGGCAGGTACAACCACCATCTCCTCCCGAAGAAAGAACTAGTAGGCATTCCCTTGCTAGACTAGCGGTGCCACACTATGACTACTGTAAGAGCTGGGATGTAGAAGAGAAAGAGACAGTCACACACCTCTTGTGTCATTGCCCTGCGCTGGGGCGTCCATCTAACCTATGTCCGTGGGTCCGTCCGGTGTCCGGATCGACGGGCTAAATTCTATATGAACAACCGAAAAAACTATAAATTGAATGTCTACGCTAGGGGTTTGAACACAGATCTCGACGGTGCGCTAACTTAATGCTTAACGCGCATGCTTAACTTCTAGGCACTCTTTGCCAAAATCTTTTTTGAGCAACTCTTTAAATCCATTTTCTTTAAGTAATTGCTTTAAGGGTTATATACAGTTGTGATAGATGAAAAAATCGCATATTTTTATATCGCATATTTTTATATCGCATATTTTTTATGGCATATTCTTGAAGTACACACTGTTGAGAATACTCTAACAAAAATTCATAACGATCGGAGCATTAGAACCGAAGTTGTAGCTTTTTATAGCGCACTACCTGCACATAAAACTTGAACAAACGTGAAACTTTAAACGAGATCATCTTAGAATCTTGATTTTTCGAAATTACCTTTGCGGTGGACACGATCACTAAAAAACTACGAATCCGATCAACACCAAATTTTGACCACTTATTTATTATGATATTAGCTAATCCGTGAACGAAGGATTTTTAATTTTTTTTGAAAACTCCTTTTTTTAAAAATCTTATACCTTAAAAAAGTACATTTTTTGTTAAAACCGTCGCCATTTTTATACCCTTGCAGAGGGTATTATAATTTTGTCCAAAAGTGTGCAACGCAGTGAAGGAGACATCTCCGATCCTATAAAGTATATATATTCTTGATCAGGATCACCTCCTGAGTTGATATGAGCATGTCCGTCAGTCCGTCTGTCCTTCTGTCCGTCTGTCTGTCTGTTTCTACGCGAACTAGTCTCTCAGTTTTAAAGCTAACGACTTGAAACTTTGCACACACCCTTCTTTTCTTTGCACGCAGTATATAAGTCGGAACGACCGGGATCGGTCGACTATATCCTATAGCTGCCATATAACTGATTGATCGGAAATGGTATAACTTTGGTGTTTTTAGAGTTAGAGACATGAAAGCTAGTCAAATTGACATGAAAGCTATTTTTAGCAAAATAATACGACGTGCCGAATTTCAAAGGGATCGGGCGACTATATCCTATAGCTGCCATATAACTGAAGGATCGGAATTGACCCAACTTTTGTGTTTTTGAAGATAGAAAGCTGGAACTTGGTACAGATTCTAGTTTTGGTTTGGTCAGTTCATCTAACCTACCAAATTTCATTAGGATCGGCCAACTATATCCGATGTTTGCGATATATATCCGGTTTTAACTGCAAGGGTATATCAACTTCGGCTCCGACCGAAGTTAGCTTTCCTTTCTTGTTTTTAATCAAAATTTTAAATAATCTCTCGTTCACGGACTAGACAATAGAATATACTAACAACATTTTTTTGAATTTTGGATTTCACATGAACCGTTTTCGGGATATTATGTCCACCGCAAGACACCATCGAAAAAAGATGATCCGGGAATTCGGAACAAATTTAATTAAGTACCCAGAAACAAATATTTGAAACAAGAAACAAATAAATATTTTCTATGGTGTCAAAAAAAAATCTAAAAAATTCCATTTTTTTGCGCGGTACAACTGTATATAACCCCTTAAAAGTTTCCTTGCTCGTCTTGGTTAACAGAACAGAGATACATTTTTACATTGATAACTATTGTCTTTTTGTCCTACCGATACATCCAGCATTTGGGAAAAATGATTTTAAGAGCATGGTCTAATATTTCTATTATGTAAACATTGACTTAGTTTTGAAGAGACATGGAAAAAGAGCTATGCATATATGTCGGTTTGAAAGATTTTATGCATTTTATTTGCTAGGCTTAAAATAGGGACGCACAGACAGGGCGCGCTCTGACAGATGTCGTTCGATTTAATGGTGTTATGATTTCTGTTAGCGTTCAATAGCTGTGAATGTGGACTTCATCGCGGGTGCAAATTCAATTTCTTAACCTCTTCCTGTCCATCGTGAATAAATAGATTGGATTACCTAAACCCCTAAAAATAGGAAGCACTATAAGATTCTCATTCTTTGGCAAGACCCTTATTCAAAGAGAAAGAAACAGAGGATGACATGTCTTCAGAAAAGTTAATTACAGCTCTAGAGCTTTAGCTTCGCTATGTCTAGTCGGTTCGCACTCTCTGTTCACTACATTATGTCACTTCTTAGCACCATAAATTGATCTATTTTAATTTGATCATCCAGTTTCATTTGGCTGCAGAATAATGCTTTTATAAAACGCTCGGTCTCATTTCTAAATTGTCAGCCACTCTAAAACTTTTGAAAAATAAATTACTCCCCATTGGCTTTCTAGCTAAATATTTTCTCCTTTCCGGCGTGGTTTCAAAAGGCCCGACTTCACTACCCTCAACTTGTTGAAGCTAACTTCTTCTGTCTTGGATGGATTTCTGAGTAGCGTACAAATAGAAGTCCTTTGCAGTGATTTAAGTAAAGCATTTGATTTTGTTAACCACTTGCTCCGGTTAAGGAATCTTAGTCTTTTTGGTTTCTCAACTGTTCTACTCAAACGGTCATTAATGTACCGGAGGGCTTGAGGCGACGGGGTCGACCAACACTGCCACTCTGTGCGAAGCGCACTATATCTATTAGGAGACTAGCTGCAAATATTGCTAAATCGGAGGAATGTAAAAAAACAAAAGTTGTTACTCCCCATGAAGCGTTAGCATTTCTTTTAGACCAGAACTTGACAAAAGACCAATATATCGCCAAATATGAGCAATCAAAACAAAAATATAATTGCCACGCTCCACAGTGGTCGACTCGGCCTCGCTAGCGGCATTTAATTAATAACTTCTAAAATATTAGAGATATCTTCAATCGGTTTTTTATTTTCGGTTTGTTACTCAATTTTGTTTTTTTTTTAAGAAATTTTTTTTGTTTTTATTTTATTTTTTTTTTTTATATTAAAAAAAAGACTTATTAAATTTTTTATATTAAAAAAAAAAAAAGAGTAGGAAATATAATTATAACTTATATTATACAAGACGCAAACATATACATTAGATATACATTACAACATATACAAAACATATCGGCTATTCCGGCGGATGGTCAACCAGGACCGACAAAATAAATGTCCATATTCCACGATTCTTTTTTTGTATTTTCATAAATAAATATCCAAATTTTCATAATCTATTGCAGTGGTGGGCACGAAATCTAACGGTCGGAGCCGCAGCTCGGCCAAAAAACAAATTACAACAACAACCACCACCCTCGCGATGGTTGTTGTCGCGTTGTGCGCAAACGGACCCTTAATAATTTTTGTTGCAAACTCGGGACCGCGGGGTCGGGCCCGCTACCTGCCTCGGAATTTGTGTAGCATTGTTTTTGTAAATCTTCACGGCTCACTGATCGCGCGACTCGATCGTCTGGCCCGATTTGCTGGCGCCAAAAATTACGAATAACGGGGGGAGCCTTGAGAGCCCGAGGAG